TATTCACGCAGTTTGGAGCACTTTTGAATTCTGATCCCAGTCAGTATCCTAATACATTTAAATTAGATTCATCAAAAGTACATCGTTCATTTTCCTTCAAATAGAAAAGGTTTTGGCATTTGGGGTATTTAGATACCAAGAAAAATTGCAGCTTTTGTCAAAAACACCTACTGCCTCGAAATTATTTTCCAAGCATTTGTAGTTTGATCCACTGTCTTGTGTCCTGTCAGTCAGCTATCCCATTTCCTTTCAGTTCTTGTGAGCTGCAGGCCAAAAATGGTGCTTGGTTTCATTAAAGTAAAGGGACTCTTTAAGGAGTGAAACAGTCCTTCCGGAGTAATTCCGAGTTTCTCTCTCCATTCTCTGAACCAAAATAAAGCCAATTCATCTGTCACTGCAACTCAGAATCAATAAATATCACCCAAAGGAAGTGGCCTATTTCCAACTTTACACAATGCTGCCTTTAAAAATCAAGGTCTTTTGAGGTGGAGGTTAAACACAAGTTAATTGGCTACATCATGTCCAATTACTTTAATCATTTCATTTGCTTTCCTCTGTGCAACATCCTAATCATTCTGACCAAAAATTTAGAAATCAGAACTTACATATCAGTGCACAATATCAGTGTTCTTCCTCCAGTTTACATTTGACCTCACTCTGATATTGTGCATAAACATGCATTTCAGAAACATGTTGCTCTTAGCTTTTAAAGATTATGGGGCTCAGATAAGAATTGAAAATCATGCAATAATATGGTGCTTTTCAAACCACTGTCTAAAAGTGCTTTATAACCCATGGAGTAGTTTTGATGTGTCATCATTGTTGTCATGGAAAGATTGCAGCACTCAATCTGAGCATCCACAATCAATAATGTGATAATGGTCCATTAAACTGTTTTTTGTGATTATGATTGAAGGATAATTTCTCTGCTCTTAACTGAAAAACTGTAGAGCCAAGGAATTTTTTGCGTTGACCCTGACAAGCAGATGTCGTTTTGGTTCAACATATCATCAGAAAGACAGTGGTTATGATACTGCAGGACTCCACTGGTATTGTACACAAGTGTCAGCCTGGACTGGGGCTTGCACCTTGAACTTTATAACTTAGGTGAGAGCCCTGTGATCTAAACCATTAATTAATTTCAATTGTTTCCTAGAGAATAGATCTTTTCACTGTTAGGAACAATGTACAACTTTTAAACTGAATTCCTATTTTGTATATTAAGAAGTGGGTGACATAGTTTAGTTTCATTTTTAAGTGTTTTGTGGGTTGTAGCAATATCTGGATGTTTGTTTTGTTTATGTGCATTTTAACAAACTTTTAAACCCATGAGGTGAACACTTCAGTGCATTAAAAAACAGGAAAAAATAACTGTGTTGGTTGCTTAGCATCAGGATTTGAATAGCGTTCGGAGAAAGGCAAAACAATCTGGAAAATAATCTAGTCAGTGTGATGTATGTCCGAGAGATTAGAAAACTCATGCAGTTGCTCTGAAATTAAAGTACTAATGAGTTTATTCTGTAGTTTGTTTTAAGGATCTCTGGAGAGGCATTAGATGAAGGGGAAAAGTATCTAGTGACTGCACAGAAATTTGCAAAAGGAAACAGGTTACAGCTGAACCAAACTGAATCTGAACAAGGAGACTGAGTTTGAAGATAGTGCTAACTTCTCCCTTAGGTTTTTGTGCTTGTAAAGATAATGCAGGAATGAAAGGCATAATATGAACTGGAATCTTTTTTGATGTCAGTAGTGAAATCTTTTCAACTGTTCATTTTGTCTAGTCTAATATAATTCATTTTTAATATAGATTTTATTTCTTGTATTTAAAATATAGAAGAAGATTCTTGTGAATGTGTGCAGTAACTGGTCTCCATGGTTAAAAACAAAGGCAAAGTTAGAATTTAACAACTCAATTTTTTGCGCTCAGATCTTACTTGTCCAGTATTCATATCAGCACGTAATAATAATCCTACAGTCATTCAGAAGAAAACTCTTAAGAGAAAGTAGGAATGAACTGAACTTTGATTAAATCTAGGTATGAAAAATATCTATGATATACATATTTTCGTAGCAGCAATAAGCTATATTATTTTTGTCAGAATCATTCTAAGGATAGTAAGATCAGCAAATGACCTGCTGCTGATCCTCTAACAGTGAGCTTTGTCACCAAGCATTAGGAGATCTATAGAAATCTAGTACAGCGTGCCACTTAATTTTACTCCAACTGGCTACAAATGACCTTCGCCTCTCCCAAAGGCATGGTTAACTGGTTAAGTGTAGGAATTCCTCTTGGGCCATAGTCAAACTTGCCTCCTACTGTTGTAAATCAAAGCCTGATGCACTATCGCATTTTGTGCCTGACTGTGAAAGGTCAAGAGTGTGACAAGACCTCAGGGAATAGAGGTACATTTGACAACTCAGGAATTCTGTGCAGAGAGGGAAGAAGGTGTTATTTTAAAAGTCTTTTTTTCACCCTCCAGATCCTGGTGAATGTTTAAGGATTTAGGTGAGCATGTCGGTGATTGTTTTGAGATTTTTTTAATGATTGTATTCATCTAAACTCAGACAGTAGTTTAAATTGGTACTGAGAAGGATTGCATTAAATTTAGTAGTTTAACTAGCTTACTACTAGGTATAACCGTAGACAACATTTAAATAATATTTCTAAACTTGAAACCAAATTCGGTAAATTAAATGCCAAAAGTATGGCAAGGCAGGTGATGTGTTGCAACTGTTGCATGTGTGCACTGCTAGACAACAAGTGAGAACTGGTGGACAGCATGTGATTCATGACAACTGCATCTGCAGTTCGCATCTACTACTTAGGAATTTCAGTTCTGGGTTGATGAGCTGATTTCAGAACTTCGGCCCCATTCAAAGCATCAGGTAAAGGGAAAGTTACCTCAACAATTTCTTACAGGAAGCAGCCTTATTCAAGATACATCAGATTTGATCTATGGTCAAGGGTAGGGGAGTGTGACTGTGTGTGAGGCAAGTATAGAGTTCCAGAAAGTAGCAATAGAGGCTGCCATAGAGTCTTAGTTATCGAGTCATACAGCACCGAAACAGACCCTTTGGTCCAACCAATCCATACCAACCATAATCTCAAACTAAACTAGTCCCACCTGGCTGCACTTGGCCTATATTCCTCCAAACATTTCTTATTCATGTACTTACCCAAACATCTTTTAAATGTTGCAACTGCACCCACAATCACCACTTCCTCTGGAAGAAGTTCATTCCACACATGAACCACTCTGTGTAAAAAAAGTTTTCCCTCATGTCTTTTTTAAATTTTTCTTCTCTCACCTTAAAAATATGCCCTCTATTCTTGAACTCCCCCACCCGAGGGAAATGACACCTACCACTCACCTTATAAGGTTTGAAGTGCTTGCAACTTATGTTAAGGAGAACAGGGATTGTAGGATAAGTAAAGTGACCGTGGCACCATGGTGCAAAGAGCCACTCAAGTGAAGGAAGTAAAAAGTAATGGAGTTAGAGTTAGGGATAGTATAATTAGAGGGATCCACACTCAACAGCATTCTCAACAACCAAAAGCATGGGTCCCCTGCCGGAGATAAAGACAGCTGCTTACAGATGGAGAGAAACTTACAGTTGGAAGGGAAAAATTCAGTTATCATGGTTCATCTGCTACCAAAAACATAATTAAGTTTATGGAAGAGTTTCTGCTGAGGTAGTATGAGCAGCAAGGGACTAAATTAAAAAATAGAATCACAATGACCCACGAGCAAATTGGCATTAGACAAATAAGATTAAAGAGTTGAATGTGTGGCTTAAAATTCATTGTGAAGAGGAAATGTGCTTAAACTCATGGGACACTGGCATTGATACCAGTACTGAAGGAAAAAGGACTTGCACCAACAAGATGGTCTTCATATGACTCACCAGAAGACTTCACATCAGGGTGATTTAATAATTTAAAGTGAATGGACAATGCAATAGTGCAAGGTAGCAAAGTTTGAGGTTGTGAAACGTGGGTCTGAACTAGTGTCTTAAACTTAAATAAAGGTTATTGCAAGGGAAGATAGAGTTGGCTAAAATGAAATGAAATGAAATAACAGGTAAAAAGCCAAGACAGTAACGAAGCAGTGGCAAACACCCAAGTAGAAATTTCCTGACTAACAGCAAAGGTGCATTCCATTCAGAAAGAGAGATGCTATGAGAATGATTTGTCAAACATGACTGGCTAAGTAATGCAACGATGGTACAAAATTGAAAGAAAAGATATGCAATATTGCAATGATTAGTCACAGCCGAGAAGATTGGGAAAAGATGAATGGAAGGATGACCAAAAAAAGTGAGAAATTGAAATATGCGTTAACTAGCAAAATACATAAAACTAAATGGTAAAAAAAGTTTTTACATGTGTACAAAAATTAAAAGCTCACCTAGAGTAAACATTAGTCCCTTAAATGGTGCGACTGAGAAATTAATAATGGGAAACAAGAAATTACCACAAGTTTTCAATAAATACAATGAGCTGAATCTTACCTTTTTAGGATAAGTCAGACTTGCACTGAGTTTCTTTGTGGGGATTTCTGCCACAAAGCCCAGCAGGTTTTCTCACCATATCTTACCAAACTTGTCTCATTAACCAAATCCTCTATCCCAGATGGCATTCCTCATCTCTGATTCTGCCCCATCTTACTGCGTAACACTCCCCTAACAACTGACCTATCAGCAGATTTTCCAGAACCCATCAGCATTCCTTGTGCTCTTGCCGTTTTTAAACGTTTGTTGTACACCCAGACAAATACAGTCAGTCTGGAGCATTTGTCATGGACATGATGAACAGGGGAAAAATCACTGGAAAGTGAGCATAAACAACTTTATCATCACAATTTTTGTAGTATTCCCAAACTGTTCTTAGATTACAGAACTTAGTAAAGTGGAATTAAACTGGAAAAGCAGTAACTTGTTTATATAATACCTGAAAAAAATGGAATAGGAAAATAAATATTCATATTATGGGACCTTACCTGAAAAATGGCAATCCAGGCATATCCTATATTATCAAAATTAATGGCACCCTTATGTGGATTTACATCTCCCGTTTTGCACATGTTGTAGTATTGATTCCAGTTTATGCAACCACTTGTATTGTTCATTTCCAGGCTATATCTTGGGTGGCTGTAAGAATCCAAGCTAAGAAAACATTCGGCTCCATTTTCTTTCAAATTTGGAAGGTCCTGACATTTCTGCATGCCATTGTCCCGTGGCAGTGAGCAAATAAATGGAGTTTCGTCACCTTCTATCTGATAATTTGGAGGTAAAGAAACATTGTAATACCTAAAAAAAAATGAGAGAGAATTGGTCTGTATTAATGCTGTAATTATTTACTCACTAATATTTGGTAAATTGAGACAGCAAGGTTGTAATTCACAAACAAAGAAAAACTGTGGAAATATCCCTTATTTTTAAAGTATACATCATAAAATAGATACTCAGTCTTTGAAGTTCATTTGAAACTTTTTGTGATAAGCAAAGATTATTAGCATAAATGCTTGAGATTTCTTTTACTGTTCTTCAAGATCTGGGTGTCACTGACAAGATTAGCACTTATTATCCACCTGTAGTTGCCTTCGAGGAGGATCTGTTGGGTTTCCTTCTTGAACCACGGTATTTCAAATGGTGAGGGTGTTCCCACATTGCTGTTAGGTAGGGGAATTCCAGTGACAATGAAGGAGCAATGATAAATGCCCCAGTCAAAATGATGAGGAACTTGAGGTGATTGTGTTTGCAGGTACCTGATGCCTTTGCACTTGTAGGTGTTGGAAATCATGCACTTGGAAGGATTTTTGTAACAAGTATAATCTAGTTAGTATAATCTAGTTTAGACATTACGGCAAAAGTTGTTCAACAGTAATCTCTATGTTCCATATTTGACACTTGAGATAACTGCTCTTCTGAACTAGTATGCGGTGTCTATTGCCCACATGAGACTTAGGCTGGGATTTTCCATTTTGGAGTTAAAATATGCCAACAGGTGTTTTAGATAGTATCACATCTGCCACTGCCTGTAGAAAGTGCTCCAGAGCAATCACAAAGTCTTCTGCTCATTTCTTATCCAAGCGGGTGCCTGGTGGCTTAAATGGTGAACCACATGTCGATGGTGGGCAGATGTTCCTTCCTCTGCCAGTATCTTCCTGGCTCAAAGGTTCTGGAGACATATTTAAAAGACACCAAGGTACCCATTGCCCTGCTTCAAACCAGGCACTCCTTCAGGCCAGAGATAGTAGGAACTGCCCTTCCTGCTCCTCTGATGCTCCTTGGCCTGCTGTGTTCATCCAGCTCTACACCTTGTTATCTCACTCCCTCAGGCCACCTTTGCCACCACACACCACCAGAAATTTCCATCAAGCCTCAAAATGCTTTACAGAGACCTCATTAAGCATCTACCCTAGATCATCTGGGCCAGAAAAGAGGTTTGTTCTCCATGGGAGGAAATGGTCCTGCCATCAGACCCAGACTGCCTGTGCTCAGGTTACACATGAGGTCACTGGCTCCAGCAGGCATCAGTGCAGTGTCATCCAATGCAGGAAGAGAATCAACAATTTCTTTGGCTTGGCAAGGCTAAGTACCACACCTTCTCACACTGTAACCTCATACACATAGGGCTTTCACTTTGTTTAACTCTACTATGATACAGCCACGTCACATGGTCACACCCATTTCAGCATCACATGCATCTGTGCATCAAAGGGCTTACACTCAGTGTACTGACAGTCTTTTAACACTTCCTAAGTATTATCATAGAAGATCATAGAATCCCTAGTGTGGAAACAGGCCCTTCGGCCCAACAAGTCCACACCAACGCATAGAACATCCCACCGAGACCCATCGCCCTAATCTACACATCCCTGAACTCGATGGGCAATTTAGCATGGCCAATCCACCTAGCCTGCACATCTTTGGACTGTGGGAGGAAATCAGAGCACCCGGAGGAAACCCACCAGACATGGGGAGAATGTGCAAACTCCACACAGACAGTTGCCTGAGGGTGGAATTGAACCCTGGTCCCTGGCACTGTGAGGCAGCAGTGCTAACCACTGCTTCCTACTCACTTACTGAGAGGACTCACCACCTGGCAAGGCTATTCACGCTCATCAAGAGCTCATGAACACACTGTCATCACACTCATCTTTTCTCTTTCTTTCACTGCAGGATAAGTTGCTGCATAATTGGAAGTAAAGTACCCAGACATACACAACCCCTCACGATCCTCATCTCATTCCAGGACGATGTAGTTCAGCTGGCGGGTGAGAACCAAGTCTAGCACCAATGGGGAGATCAGCATGGGAGAAGCCAGGGAGTACTGTTGTTGTCTGCTCTTCTCTAAGGGCAAGGTAGTGGTGAAGTCTTAACATTTGTTCACCTTGTGATACTGGAAGCTCACTCACAGACAATGCCCAGCCATTTCAACACATCACTTAGGTAGGTGAGGGGTGAGGGTTCTGAAAAGGGGATGCACAGGCTTACAAAGCAAAAAGATATGGCAAAATTGCACAGCAGCATTTGAGTAATTATACCAGAGTGGGACAGGAAAGGACAGAGTATACAAACAGGAAAAGAACAGCAATAAATAGAGCCAAAGGGAGAAAAATGGCAAAAAGGAAATAAAATTAATGGTTCTTTACTAATAGATACAAAATATTGGGAACAAAATAAATAAATCAATGGTACAAATAGGGGTTGATAGGCATATCCTAAAGCCATTATAGTGACATAGATACAAGGCAGGAAGAAATGGGTGATGGGTTGCTTTCTTAATACAAGATGGAATATTCATCATAGCAAAAAATGATCTTGGGTCAGAAGTTCTGAATCCATTTGGGTGGAGGTAAGGAATAAAAAAGGGAAGATAGCACTGATGGGATTCCTCCAGTTAGGCTCCCTAACAGTGGCTATACTATAGAACAGAGAATAAATCAGGAGATAGTGAAGGCTTGTAAAAAGAAAAGGTAGTATGTTATTCATGGATGAATTTATTCTTCATGCATTTTGGGAATATCATATTGGCAAAAGTAGCCATGAGGAAGAATTCATAGGATATATTTGGGACAGTTATTTAGAATGATATATTGAAAAGCCAACCAGGAATCAGGCAATTTTGGATCTGGTAATGAGTAATGAGACAATTTATTAAATGAGCTCAAAATAAAAAAGAGCCCCCAGGAAACAATGACCATAACATGGTAGAATTTAACATTCAGTTTGAAAGTGAGAAACTTGGGATAGAAACAACTGTGTTAAACTTAAACTACAAAGGAGTGAGGCAAGTGTTGCTTGGAATGGACTAGGAAAGGAGTTTAGCAGAACAGACAGTCAATGAGCAATGACAGATGTTTAAGAAAATAATTTATGACTCACAACAAAGATATATCCCTGTGAGGAAGGGGGATTCTAGGAGGTTATTAATCAACAATGATTAACCAAGGACATTGAGAATAACATCAAAGTGGAAGAAAAAAAATATAAATATGATAAGGATTAGTGGTAAACCATTGGGAAATCTTTAAAAACCAACAAAAGATGACCAACAAGTAGAGAAAACAATTTAGCTATTAGAAGGCAAAGTTGGGGTAAAGAGAGCATTTTCAAGATGGCAACTTGTAACTGATGGAGTTCCACAGGGATCAGTGCTGAGGCCACAATTATTTACAAATTATATTCATGACATGGATGAGGTACTATGCCAACTTGGACACAAAGACTGATGGGAGGACAAGTGGCAGTGAGGGATAAAAACAGGTTAAGTAAATGAGCAAAAACTTGACAAATAGAATATAAAGTAGGAAAATGTGAGGTTTATGCATTTTGGCAAAAGGAATAGGGTAGCTGAATATTATTTAAATGGAAAGGGCTATAGAATGTTCAAGAGAGATTTGGAGATCCTCATTCATGAATTCACAAAGCTAGCCTATAAGTTTAGCTGGTATTAGGCGAAGCAAATGGAATATTGGCCTTTATTTCAAGGGGAATGGAGAACAGAAGTAGGGGGGTCTTGCTACAACTATACAAGACACTAGTTAGAAAACAACTAGAATACGGTAAACTAGTCCCTTATCCAAGGAATGATATACTGGCATTGGAGGCAGACCAGAGACTGGAGGGATCTTCTTATGAGAAAATGTTGAGTAATTTGGGCTGTCCTCATTGGATTTTAGAAGAATGAAGGTAACCTTAATGAAACAAACAAGATTCTTAGGGAGCTTAATAGGGTAGATGCTGGGAGGTTATTTTTGCTGAAATGGAGTCTAGGACTAGAGGCAAAGCTCAGATTAAAAGCTGCCCATTTGAGACAGAGATGAGGACGAATTTCTTCTGTCAGTGGGCAGGGAACCCGTGAAATTCTTTATCACAGAGGGCTGTTGAAGCTGAGTCATTAAATATAGTCAACGCTGAGAAACGGATTTTTAATCAGGAAGTGAATCAAGGGTTGTAGGGAAAAGGCAGGGAAATTAAATTAAAGATAATCAGACATGATCTAATTGAATGGTGAAACAGACTTGATGGGCCAAATGGCCTACTTGTGCTCCAATTCTTAATTATCGTCTTAGTTTTCGTCCTCGCTAACCATCACACATACCATCCAGTGCAACTTTAAATGACAACTCCTTGCTGGCAAAATGACATGCCCATGGTGGCAATGTGCATTGCCTAGGGTTCAGAAAACATACCAGGGCACCTTACTAGCCAGATTGGCAATAGCTAAATTGCCTTCAGACAGGGGGAGGCAGAACCAGTCGCATATGGCCTTGGCATGATAGTGATGCCAGATACAGTCATGCCCAACTTAACCTCCTGCTTTTGCTCATCCCTCCAGGATGCCAGAACATGTATTGCTTGTGATCTTTGGCTTGTGTATCAGTAACTTGCCAACTCCTCCCTATTCTGTGAAATCCCCTCACCATTTTGTCATCCTTGTTGCACCTGTGATCCTTTAGTGTCCCCCCTGTAATTTGCAGCAGTCACTGTCTCCAATTTTCCCTGGAGCACTTGGACATTGAGATCTTACTGGCCCTGTACAGCCTTGCCCCTCTCCTGATAGAATGCACCTCCAACATGACTGTATGTTCCCTGCCCCGACTTTCCAAAACCCCAAGAATTTATACTTGCTCCCATCCCTGTAACCATGGCTCATGCTACAGCATGCTCCCAGACTGAGCTGCAGGAACAAGATGGCCTTAGTATGGATGATGCTTTGGACGGACACTTCATAACCCCAGACTGACTGCAGGCCAACAAGATCCGGATACACTATGGCAACACCCCCACCCTCAGCAGGA